GATGGCGATTCTCTGTTGTTACTTTGACTACATCTGGAACTAACTAAAACCCAAAAAAATGAAGAAACATACCTGCAAGGAGTTGTTGCTTAACTGAAGAGAAAAGATCCAGTTCTAATCCAGATCCTTGGGGTGGGAAGACCCACCTCTAATCTGAGCCGCGCCATCTGCTAGAAGCTTATGTAAGGATATGGAAGAAGGAAGTTCACCCTGCCTGCTTGCTCCTGCCTAGCTAGCAAGTCCATTCTTTTGCTAGCATTAGATCCTACTCCTTTGGAATCCTTGTATATGATGAAGACTAGCTGAGACATCCAGTCTCACGGACTAGATTCTTGGACCTTCCATTCATAGCCAGTTATTATTGGATTAGCTGGACCACAGCCTGTAAGTCATCCTAATAAATCTCAAATATGTATGTATGTGTGTATATGTATATATATATATATGTGTGTGTGTGTGTGTGTTCTATAAGTTCTGCTACTCTAGAGTCTAGAAAACTCTATTATACCCTTCTGTCCCATATCTCTGTCACATTATGCTCTGTGGCACAGGCTTCTGTCTGCCTTTATCTGGTTTTCCCACATTGTCTTCTCTGAAATACAAGCCCTATGCAGGTAATCCCTGTGTGTCTTGTTCAGTCCCCTTATTATATAACCAGGTTCATATGGAGTATTCACTCAGCAGATCACAATGGCTTTAATACATCCACTGAGCATGAAGCAATGCATCAGGAACAGCTTTTTACTTCAAGCTCAGGATAAGAGCACTGTTATGCCCAAATCCGCGAAGTCCCACAAAAAGCCAACAAAGGAACCGAATCCTGTATGTAAAAGCAAGGAGCCTTTATTTTATGCAAGTTTACAAACTCGGTCTCCCTGCATGTCCAACATATTGGAATAAACAGAGAGTCCCGAGCTCAGTTAGAGCTAGGTTTTAAAGTAGTAAAGGTGGGGGGTGCAGGGTTTCTGAGGTCCAGGATCCCTGATTGGCTGACATTTGCCTAGGGGTGTCCTGGTGAGTGTGCTGGCAGGTGGTCCTATATATAATGGTTGGAATGCTAGGCATTTCCATTGGATGGTCTGTTCTTGGGTGGTGCTTGGTAATCTCAGTTTGTGGTTCTTCCTGCAGCCAGGGTAAACTACTGAGACTCAGGCCTCCATTAAACTTATCGATGGCTGAGTCTTACTCTGGCAGGTGATAATGGTTGGAAGTAAAGAACTTCTTTGGGTGCTCTGTTTCTGTTTAGCTTATCATGGCTGGCTCCTACAGCACCAAGTGCTCTTATTAGCTCTCTTACTGATGGGGGAAGATGGTGTCCAGAGAGGCTGAAAGACTGTTTGAGAGGACGCAGCAGCCGGCATAGGAGTCTAGATTGTCTCAGGTGTGTCTAGCACAGCTTCATGATCTTAGTATTTCCCAGGGGTCAGGAAGCAATTAGAATAAGAAAAGTATGGCTCAGCTGCTGGCAGACAGGTGACAGTTACCTGTAATCTACCACTCTGAAACAAAGTACCAAAATTCAGTGGTTTAAAATAGCCAAGGGTCTTTACTTGCAAGTGTTGGTTGCAATGAGTCATTGGTCTAGTTTGAGACCTCCGGTTTCTGCTACTATCAATGGGGCCCTCACTGGGACTCCTCTTGGATATCCTGTTCTTTTCCTGTGTCATGGAGGCCTTCAGCTTTGGATCTGAAAGTCTGGCCCCTTCACATGCTCCAGTAGACCTTAGATGGGGCAGATGTTGGGATGTGCCAGTTCATAGCCCTGTTTCTGGGCCCGGTGGTTGCTGGCTTGGTGAGCCTGCCAGCCCCCCCCCCCCCCCCCGTGGGCTCTCCAGCATCACCCCTGCTGGCTCACTCTAGGCAGATAGCAGCAAGGGGTGGGGCCAGTTCTCCTGCTCCCATACCCATAGGGCCAGTGGTTGGCTTTAAATAAGACACTGGAGGAAGACCACAAGGAACCAGATTAAACCAACCTAAACCAAACAGAGTTCCCCACTTCTAGGTGACCTATTGTAAGCAGAATTGGGGTATGGCATGTATGAAGAAGTGGGCTCTTGTCCCGAGCCCCGCATACAGCTGTAGACTCTGTGTGACTCCAGGAGGAGTAAGAGGGCTCTTCCGGGGAGAAGTCCCTTGTCTCTCCACTCTGGGAACCACCCTTGTTTCATGCAATCAACCTTCCTTCTTCATTTTTCCCTTCGGGTTGGGCTCATTGACTTTGTCTGGGCCAAGGGCTGAGCCTACTGGGTCCTTTGTGGAAGTTTGAATGAAAAATGTCCCCTACAGGCCCTTGCCTTTGAATACTTGCTCCCCAGTTTGTGGAAGTCGAGGAGGTTCAGCATTGCTGGAGGTAATTATGTCACTGGGGGTAGACTTGGAGGTTTCAAAGCCTCTTCCATTCCCAGTGCGCTCGCTCGCTCTCTCTCTCTCTCTCTCTCTCTCTCTCTCTCTCTCTCTCTCTCTCTCGGAGCGGTACAAGATGCAAGTTGCTGCTTGCTGCCTCTGCCCTGCCATTATGGACTTTAACTCTCTGGAACCATAAGCCAAAAAAAAAAAATGCTGTCTTCTGTAAGCTGGGCTAGGGTGTTGACTGCAGCAAGAGAGGAGTGATGCAGGCCTGAGTGCAGGCACAGGTGATGTTGTGACAGCAATCCCAGGCCTCAGAGCCAAGCAGCTCCTTGCATTCCTTCTCTCAGAGACATCTTCCTTTCCACAGAGCGCATATTAGGGACCTCACTGCCCACTCTGAATCTCCTTCCTCTGGGGGAGAATTTCAGACCTGTTGTCAATTCCCATTGAGACTGAACTTGGTCATCCCTCTCCAGATAAGTAGGATTGATCCAGTCCGACAACAGGTCACCACTTTACAGGACACATGTATCTGGATTATAAGGGATTTGAAGCTGCAGAGAGTGCTCACTAAGGGATCACAATAGCCACTCACAAAAGCCCCTTTCTCCTGGGGTCCATCAAACATCAGGCTGAAAAGAACTGGAGAGGCTTCAAAGAAAACCACTGGGACTCGGACTATCCAGGGAGTGGGTGATGGCCTTGAAACCTTGATCCTCCCACTGTCCCTGTCCAACCGCTGACATTAAAGAAGTGTGCTGCTGCACCCAGTTTGTGCGATGCTAGAGCTGGAACCCAGGGCTTCCACAGTAGGCGAGCCCTCTATGAAACGCATTGTCTCCCCAGCTGCCCACCAGGCTTCACTGGGTCAGAAAGTCAGGCCTGGGATCTCCAGCTAAGAGGCTTTGTTCTCTCCCGTTCTTTACACTGCTGGGACCTACATAAATCTGAATGCTCTTCACAGACATCCAAGCTCAGAAGCCCCTTCTAAAGCCCTTCCTGGAAGTTTTAGCTCTGAGAGAAGTTTGGTGTCCTGCCGTGAAGAAAGGCTCCACTTCCCAGGGATGACTCTGTGGCTGGATGGCTTCCTGCAGCTGCAGGCTCTGTGTCTGCTTAGTCAAGGTTTCCTCCTAGCCAGGAACAGGCCACCCCCTTTCTCCTCTTTCACCACCTTCTGCAGGGCTCTGCAGGCCCTCTCCCATCATGTCTTCATGCGCTGGAGAGCCATACCACATTGGCCAAGTGGCTCACACCAAAGTATTTGCATCCCGGCTGGTCCCTATCAGCTGCGGCATCTGAGGCAATCATTCTACATAAAATGCAAAAGGGCCAGGGTTTTGTTTTCCTTCCTTCCTTCCTTCCTTCCTTCCTTCCTTCCTTCCTTCCTTCCTTCCTTCCTTCCTTCCTTCCTTCCCTCCCCCACCTCTTTCTTTCTTTTTACTTCCTTCCTTTTTCTTTCTTTTTTTTTTTTGTTTTTATTTTGTTTTCTGAGACAGAGTTTTTCTTTGTAGCTTTGGTTGACCTGGAACATGCTTGGTAGATCAGTTTGAATTTGGAGATCTTCCTGTTTCTACCTTCTGCATACTAGAATTAAAGGTGTAGGATACCCACACCCTGCTGGGATTTGGCTTTGAACCCACAGACTGAACTCAGCTGAAGACAATGAGTCCTGGGAAATACAAGGCTCTTGCCTGCTCCAAGCCACAGTTTCAAGTCAGTCTGGGGGTCAGGTCACTTTAGTATTTAAGCTCAGATTAATGTGACTCTGAATTCACCATTTTCTCTCTCTTCTGTCCTACATTTGCTCACCTGCTCCACTCAACCGACTGGGAAGATCTGGCAGGCTCAGCTCAGCTTGGGGACCCTAGTGTGCTTCTGCTCTTCCTCCTGATGGCAAGGCCCAAGCTGGGAGCTGACAAACCCTGCAGCCCTCTGGGGTGGCTGCCAACAGAATGGGTTGGGCTCTGCCCAGATGTCGCTCTGCCAGGGCTTGATGAAGGCTGGCTTCCTCTGCTGGCAGTGATTGGCAGGCGTTTATTTCCCTTTAAGAGGCCAGCATCTGTGGTGTGTTTATGGTTTAATTTTTATTTTCTCTGCCACAGATCTGCCAAAAGTCTGGGGAAGGACAGCTCTGCCTGGACAACTGTTCCCTTCACCCTGAGGGACAGCAGCCTGGGCCTTCTCAGCGGCTCACAGGGCAGGACGGCCCGGGCCAGCTTACGTTTTGCTCTTGACTGAGATTCCTACTAAAGATCCCAGGAGGTCCCAGCTTTCCACTGGGGTCCTGGCCATTACAGTGCTTCCTGTGCAAGGTGTGGCTTTGGGACAGTACATTCTTTCTTTTACTATGGTTGTTTGTTGTGTTATTTACATATTTTTTGAGTGTGTGTCTGTGTGTGTGTGTGTATACAGTGTCTGCTCCCTATGCTCACATATAGATTCCAGAGTGGGGGAGGGGTCCTCCTCTACCAAATCATATAACAATATCTATTATTCCCTGAACTTGGAACAAGGCTGGTAGCCAGTAAATCCCAGCCATCCTCCTGTCTCTGCTTCTATAGCATTGGGATTGTGGGTACCCAGCTTTTTTTTTTTTGAAAAAAAAGCAATTTTATTAAAAAAAATATAACAAAAGGAAACTGGGACCAGAGCGCAGGGTTAGTCCATCTGGGCCTTTAGTGTCCTGGTGGTGATCTTGTCCTTTTCAATGATGTGGACAATGACGCCCATGCCCGAGACAGCATCCCCGTCCACGGCGTTCAGCATGGCTTGGGAAATGGTCTCAAACAGGTGTTCTGGATCCATGTTGGGCTCCCAGAGAGACTCGCACATCCCATACATCTGTTCGGAGCAGGTACCACTGACTACAAAGTCGTCAGTTACCATGGGGCAGCCAATGAGGTCTAGGGAGCAGGTGAAGGGCTTAAAGGTCTTCGGGTCCAACCTGGCAATGACAGGCTCTGTGGAGTAGGGACCAAACCGTTTCTCATACAAGAGGTTGGCCACCATGCTCATGAGGGTGTAGGGCTTGATCTGCCGACCTTCCTTCAGCTCATAAAGATTCAGCCGGAACTTGAGGCGCTGGGCAACTGTCTGGACGTTGGTGGCCAGCCCAGCCAAGCCTATGTACAGCCTGTCACCCATAGGTCTTCTTGGAGTCTGTGGTCACCATCTAGGCCTGGATCCCGAAACGCCTGTCTGCGATGATGGCCACGCAGTTCTTTCCCTTCATGGCCATGACGGCCCCTCTGTTATGGACATAATAGACATGATTGCGCTTTAATGTGACTCCTATCGCCACTGCGATTCTTGTCAGGTACCCAGCTTTTACACAGATGATGGAATTCGGATTTAGGTCCTCATACTTATGCTGAGCCATCTATCTCCCTGACCCCTGAAAGTCAGGAATACATTTGAGCAATGCTGAAGCTCCACCCTAGCGCCTCCTGCTGGGCAAGTGCTCTACCTGTGAGCAACACAACAGCCTGGTGTGTAACACTTAGATTGGCGATGGTTTAAAACTTAAAACAGTTGCAAAAATAATCCTGAAAATTCCTACAAAAATACCCTTACCCCCCTGGCCCACACAGATACCTTAGTGACCCTTTGGGATCTGGCGATCTGCCCTCCAAAGCATCAGATGCAAGTTCCACTCTCCTTTCCTCAAGTTAGATTACACACGCTCTTGCAATACTGTTTCTTATTTTCAGTTTACCATCTCCCCCGAGCTGACTTGGAGTGATCCCGTCTCCAGCCCTCACCTTCTACATCTGTCTTTACCACCTTTCACCGTCTACGCAGCTCCTTGTCACTCCTGCTCTGACGGTGACACATTTCCACTTCATAGCACATCTGCAGTTCACAGTCTGGCCCTCCCCTTCTCTGCTCTCTGGTTTCCTTTCCTGTGTCCTCTCTGAGCATTATTTCCACAATTTGGCTGAGATGTTGGCATTTGGTGTTATGATTGTCATGTATTTTATTTCATCTGCTTAGTTCTCTGCTTGTGAACCCCTGGTTTCTAACCTCCGACTTCTCCGGTTTGCCTGACCTGTTCTTGGCACTCTTGTACACACTGGCCTTTCTCCAGTTCATCAACTCAAGACACCTTCTTGGGCCAGCTTGGACTTGCAGGCAGATGGCCTCGTTGTGTGAGGACCCTAGCAGCATGTCCTGTTTCCTTGATCCATATCTTCCTTTTTTGGTTCACTCTCTCGTTTAGGAGTGCATTCTCCAGTTATTTTCTGAGGGGGGGGGGTAAAAGGTAGCTGGAGGCAAATAATATTTGGACTGTCTAGGGAAACTTTTTGCCAGTTGGTAGTGCTGGTCCTCTGGGACTTAAGGGCCCTTGTTCCATCGTGTTGCTCACAGGGCTGCTGAGAAGCCAGAGCTTGCCCGAGGCTACCTTTACTTCAGGCTTCCACTGACACTGTGGTGGGAACTGGCTTTCTCTCCATGCTGAACCTCCTTAGGGTCCTCTCAACCTCAAGATGCACGGTTTTCACTTGAGGAGGTCTCCTCAATTGTTTTATTGATATTTCCTTCCCAAATTCCCCATCTTTTTTCCATGGAATCTTTGTCTATATGACCTTTTCTTGTAGAGTTTGGGTAATTATGACCATATGACTATCAAAAGTGTGTCCTGTCTACCTTTCTAGTTCTGTTTCTTCTAGGACTTCATATTTGAGCCCCTAGGGTCCTTCCCCATCCTCTCTCCTCTCTTTTTTACCAAGAGCAGGTAAGCATGTAGAATCCTTAGCTCTGTCCTCTTGGTCCATTTGTTTCTGAGAGGATGCTAGGCCACTCTCGCATCTAGAGACCAAGGTCTCCTGCTACTGGACCTGGAGGGGAGCTGGTGCTGCACCACAGGTTCACTCTGCCCCCCACATCTCCTTTCGTGCCTGGAGACCTTTAAGATGATACCAGAGATTTACTTGGATGGGGAGTGGGCTGTATCCCATGGCATGGGTTCCAGACTGAATAAGAAGAAAGACGTGCCTCTCTCTGCTTCCTGGCCACAGAGACAATGTGATCCTGTCACCTCACATCCCAGCTACCAGGACTTCTCCAACAATGACAAACCACATCCTTGAACTGGGAGTCGAGATAAACCCTTCCTTCTTGAAGCTGCTTTTCTCAGGCATTTTCACAACAGTAATGAGGGAGGTAGCTGATGCCGTCAGTTGCCAGACAAGACTCCAAGAGAGCAGTGCGGCTGTGTCAAAGCACTAATCTGTATAGTCTTCTGTGATTACCTTATTAATAATTGTCCTCTGACAGTAGTATTTGACTCTACAGAGACTTGCATTCCTGGTGGTGACGAAGAGAGGCACAAAAGGTAACAACATAAACCAGAACTATTTGAAAAACCAGGCCTTCATTTTATGCCTGGTGCACACTGTAAGGTCAGAGGACACTCTGTGGGAATTGGAGCTCTCCTTCTAAACTGTGGCTTTTAGGGACAGAACTCAAAAGGTCAGGCTTGATGGCCGGTACCCTCTCCCACTGAATCATCCAGCCTGCCCCAAACTAGGCTTTAATGTGCTAGTCAAAAACAGTAGAATCAAAATGCCCCTACGGAACTGAGTTCTAGAAGGAAGCTGAAACTGGAGCAGAGCCTGGTCCAAGGAAGAGCTGCCTCTGCAAGGTCAGCCAGAACTCACTTTAGCCTTGGAGTGGAGTTCCGGCAGGTGGCAGGCGGGGCAAATTAGAGTTTGGAATACAGGAAGTCAACGAAGCCAACAGCACGGAGCCGCTCTGACGCAGGAGGAGGTGGTATTCCGACACTCAACTTCCTACCCACCCCACCTAAAGCTTCCTAGAAGGCAGGAGTGGAGGAAAGGGGTGGAAATAGAGAAGGCCGGAGTAGTCATGCAGATTCGCAGAGGAACTTAGGTAATAATAAAACCTTCCTGAAACCGCAGCTCAATACTGCAAAGACAGGCTGTCCTGAGGAGCTGATTACAGGTAACTCTGACTCTCAGCCCCACTGAATTCCACGTGAGGTGAGTCCACTCACCAGGCAGTGGGAGGGTCAGACTCTGGAGCAAACAAAGCACAAAATAAAGGGGAAATTGTATTATTTCCACCGCATTGTTTTTTATACAAGCTCTCAAAAATATAATGAAAGGAGAAGGGAGAGACGTTAGAAGCTAGCTGGGAACGTGTGACTCATGACCAAAAGCAAATGCAGGTAATGGGAGCAGACATGAAACCATTAATGCGGATGAATATTTACAAGGGGATTTATAGGACAAAAATAAGTGGACTGTGTGCAGAAGTAATATTTCAGGGTTATGCAGGGCAACTTTGCAAAATAACAAAATGACAATTCTGGACATAAAAATTAAAATCTTGGAACTGAGAATATGACAGGTGAGTAGTAGATTCAACTTGAGGAAAAGGGGGTGCTCAGTAAGGGTGAAGAAAGATGAGGGAAACAGCTCCGACAGGGAAGAACCGGGGAGGTGTGCAATGGAGCATCAGCCTCCTGGTTTTGACATCAGCCGGTTTCAGTCTAGCTGGGATCCTAGAAGGGAGGAGCCTACCATACTGACTCAGTGAAATCCGTGGTGAGGCATGCTATACTAACATTGAATTTTAAAGCAGTGATAAATAGCTGCATCTTTAATATATTTTAAAAGCCATACATCTACTTGATAGTTGGAAACTGAAAATCAATAAGCCATGGAAAGTGGCTTTGAGGGGAGGAGGGAGGCAGAATTGACCCAGTCTTGAACTTGCTAATTGAGCACTTTACTATTGAACTTGCCTGATTTTATTTGCTTTTATGTTTGTGAGACAGGATCTTTATGTAGTAAAGTCTGGCCTGGAATTTGCAATTCCCCTGCCTCAGCCTCCTGAGTGTTGGAAATACAGGTGTGTGCCAGCAGGCCCAGTTGGAAAGTAGCTTTAATGCTGTCACAAACCAAACCTATTCACCTAGGATTTTATATCCAGCAAAATTATGTTTTAAAAATAAAAACAGGAACTGAGGGGATGGCTCAGTAGGTGCAATGGTTGCCACATAGGCACAAGGACCTGATTTCGAAGCATCAGCACCTGTGTTAAAAAGTGAATGTTTTGTCATGTTCTGTAGCCACAGTTCCAGAGGGACAGAGATAGACAGAACCATGGTGCTACCCGGCCACAGCCAGTCTAGCTGACTTGACCTCCTCCAACTTCAGTGAGAGACCCTCGCTCAAAAAGTAAGGCGGAGAGTGATTGAGAAAGTCACCATCTATCTATCTATATCTATCTATCTATCTATCTATCTATCTATCTATCTATCTATCTATCTATCGATAGAGATATAGGATAGATGGTCAGAGTTCTTTAGTGACCTAGAACTGGTCGTCTAGATATGGTATTTACTGAGTGGCTTACACTCTGGCTTGTCTAGCAGTGGCTGTCTCCCCAGGAAGTCCTACAGTTGCTCCATTCACAGGGCTGCATGTCTCAGCAGGTCTTCAGTATACATCAGAATCCCGAAGAAGTGGGACCTAATACCAGTGATGAAATGAACTTCCAGGAGGAATTAGGGAAAGCAGGCAAAGATAAAATTCTCCCCTTTTCCACGTCCTTTGTATAGGCTGCATCAGAAGGTGAGGTTCCGGTTTAAGGTGGATCTTCTAACCTTCAGTGATCTAACCAAGAAAAATCCCTCTTAGGTATGCCCCACTGTTTGAGTGTTAGTCAATTCCAGATGTCAAGCAGACAACCAAGAATAGCCATGACACCTGATGTCAGTTCTCTTAGTTAAGGGTTTCTGTTGCGGTGAAGAGACACCACAACCATGGCTGTTCTTATAAAGGAAAACTTCTAATTGGGGCTGGCTTACAGGTTCAGAGGTTCAGTTCGTTATGGTCATGGCAGGAAGCCTGGCTGCATGCAGGTAGACACGGTGCTGGAAACGAAGCTGAGAGTTCTACATCTGGATCTGCAGGCAGCAGGAAGAGAGAAACCCTGGGCCTGGCTCGAGCATTTGAAACCTCAAAGCCCATCCCCAGTGACACACTTTCTCCAACAAGGCCACACCTACCCCAGCAAGAACACACCTCTTAATCCCTGTCAAATACCTGCCACTCCCTAATGACCAAGTATTCAAATATATGAGCCCTTGGGGACCATTCCTACTCAAACCACCGCCTTGACCTTTCACCTCTGCACATGACTCGCATGTGCACACATGCACACTTCACTCTGTGAACAAATCAGTCTTAAATAAAGACACTTTAAGGTGATCTCAATGGAGCGGACTCTACAGCTGAGAGACTGCAGAATGAGGTGTTTGGGGTGGGGGGAAAAGATGCTGATCTACAGGGAGAAACAGAGCACAAAAGGGGGGAGAACCTGTGTAAGAGGAAAGACTGTGTCCTCTGTCACTACTTGAAAGTTCGTCATCCTTTGCAAATGAGAGCACCAAGCAGCCAAGCCTCGCTGGAAGCAGTTTGGAAAGCTTGTTTTGCTTGATAGTTTGTTTCAAAGTATTAAATGCAAACTCACTGCAGACCCCAGAAATTACATTTCTAGGTGTAGTTATTCAAGAGAGATACAAATAGATCTTCAAACACATGATTTTGGAAGAATTGCCCATAGCAGCAACATTCTTAACACCCAAAAAGCAGAAACTATTGAGAGCCATCAAGAAGCAGTGCTGAGTGGGTAATCAAGACACGCTGACCCAGCTCTGGCTTTCATTTTTGAAGATTATTCTGCTTTTCAGTATATGTGTGCATGCGCATGTATATATATTTGGGTGCCTGCAAAAGCTGGAAGCATCAGGTCCCTTGGAGCCAAAATTACAGAAGGTTGTAATCCACCTGACACAGGTTCGGAGAACCAAACTTGGGTTCTCTGCAAGAGCAGCAAATGTTCTAACCACTGTGCCTTCTCTGCAGCTCCCAATTTCACTTTCTTATGTGTGGTATCTGTGAGGACTATCACGTAACTCTTACTTTCATCCTAGAGATGTCCCTAGAATTAAACAGAGCAAAAACATAGCTTGAAGATGCTGAGAAAACTGAAGGTGAGTCAGGCCAGGGGCGCAGGCCTACAAGTCTAGCTACTGAACCAGTAACCAGTTACTGGGTTACAGGACAAGTCTGAGGCTAGCCTGGACAACTTATCAGGACACTGTCTCCAGATAGAGAATTTTAAAACAAAGGGTGAAGATGTATTCAACCTAGCACACATGAGGCCCTGGGTTTGATCCTCAGGATCATCAAAAGAAAGGAAGAAAAAAGAGAGAGAAAGAGAGAAAGTGACAGGGGAGGGGAAACCTACATGAGATCCTGGGAGACTTCGCTGAGTAATTAAAAAGAAGAGGGAAGGAGAAGCAAACCACAGATGATGAGATGTGACAAGGAAACAGTCGGACAACAGGCTCATCCCAACTTCCCAAAGGTCACCATTACATTAAATAGACTGTCACAACACCGCACGTTAAAGTGAAGATTATCAGGCTGTATAAAAAGCAAGGTCTACCATATGCCATCTGTGGAGAAGCTGTTATAGATAAAGACCCATAAAAGTAGAAGTTTCCTGATAAATCCTGCAAATGCTCAGTCCCTGCTGACCCTATGAAGATCAGGCCAAAAATGTAAGGTGGGAAATACTAGCGAGTATTTCTTAATTAATTGATTAAACAGTCAGTTGTCAGAAAGATGCGAGAGTCCTGAGTGTGTGTGCGCAGTAACAGCAGTGGGAAACGAGTAAGATCAAAGTTGACAGAACAGAGAGAAGTGGAAGAATCGCACTGTTGGGGAAAATGACAGTCTGCCCTCAATAAACAGAGCACAAAGAAGCAGAAACATTATAGATTTCAACAGCGTGCAGTGTCGGCTGGCTCACTGAGGCCTGCTGAGTGCCATATTTGAGTGTGGCAGGACAACCTCGTTTCAAGTGTGTGAAGTGCTCATCAAGACTATGGGCTGGAAAAGAACGAGCTTCCCCCAGGTCAAGGGTTTGCAGTCATTTCCTACAAAGTTAAACACGCATTTATATCTTATATCTTAGCCAAGTTTCTCTTCCTACAAGCCCAAGAGAAATGAAACACCTCTACAAAGAGAAAGACACAGGAATGTTCTAGTAGTTTTCTTTTTAATTAACCTAAAGGCTAAGTGATTCACATGCAGATAGGCAAGCTGGGTGCACACACCTTTAATCTGAGCATTTGTGAGGCAGAGACAAGCAAGTCTCTGAGTTCAAGGCCAGCCTGGTCTACAGAGCAAGTTCCAGGATAGCCAGGGCCACACAGAGAAATCTTGTCTTCAAAACAAAACAAAACAAAAAGTTGACCAAACAAAAATACCTCCAAAAATCAACAAGAAGGAGGAGGAGGGAGCTGGGCAAAGGGAGCGCATGAACACCAGGAGATACTGCTGTGGACACACACTGAGCAGAATCCGTAAATGTCAGGAACACCAGGCCAAACAAACTCAGACATAGAGTATGCATAGTGTGAGTCACTGGCATGAGTTCCACACACGGAAGACACTTACCCATAGTGCTAGTGTCATGGTTTGACGGGTTACGGAAGGCCTGGCTCCATGGGGAACTCTTCAGAGGACGAGTGAGTTCGTACAAGATGTTCTATCGAAAGGTGAGGTCGGTTGGAGGAGGAGAGCCAGCAGAGAGTGCCTTTGAAGAACAGGTCTTGTCCCCAGCCTCTTCCTCTCTCTGCCTCCTGTTTACCATGAGGAGGGCCACTTGGCTCTGCTGCACGCTCCCCACATGACCACATGACGCACCACACAGGCCAGGAATAGCGGAGTCAGGTGGCCATGACCTGCTGCATCTGAAAGTGCGTGCCAAATCTTCCTCCCTTAGGTTGATATCTCCTGGGTACTATGTCACAGTCACAGAAGACTTACCAGCGCAGGCAGGCATCAGAGTATTTGTTGCTTCTTGGAGAAAAGACAGCAACAGTTGATATGGGGAGAGGGGGGGTGTGCTCCGGGACTGTCCAGAGTGCTGAGGACAGCCTGTTTTCACCGGGATGGGACACACAGACAGCAACTGCAGATGCCTCCTGCCAGCAAGGATTCCACTAACAGGTTTCCAACATGCTAACAGCATGAATGCCATATGCATTCCGTGGAAACCACACTGAATTTGTATCTCTTCCTTGTTAGAGACACCCAGATGCCTGCCGTTCAAGGAGCAGCAGCTGGCAGCCAGCCATGAGGTCAAGAGGGGAGACAGCTGCTGCCCTGTAGTGTGCTGACAGTGTTCAAGGAGTCATGCTGGAACCATTGTTTTACACAGTTACACACACACATCCACATGTGCATCATAGATAATGTGATATAGCATATATACATGCAATATAGGCAAACATAATACATGCATAAACTATGTACTGCACACATATATTTGTAAAACTATATATATTGCTATAATGTACACATATACAGTATATACATATATAAATACTGTGGGTGGATATTTATATATGTGAAAACACTATATAACACTATATATAAACACTATACCTATATAAATATAATTTATTCATATATAATATATACATGTAAACCATATACCTATAAAAACAATACTTGCATATATAATATATGCATATGTAAAAACATGTCTACATAAATGCATATGCATATATATGTAATGCATATAATTACACAAGGTTGTTCTTACTGTGCTTTTAAAGCAATTATATATAGATAGTTGTGTATTTCATTGCACATAAATGCATTTTAATTTTCAGAGAGTAAATATAATGTAAAACTCTTGCAGGAGTGGCTCAGACTGTAATCTGAGAACTGAAGAGGCTGAGGCGATTTCAAATAAACCTAAGCTCCACTGGGAGACCACCCTGAACCCTTGGTGGTGGAGGACCTGTCTAGCATGTAGAAGGCCCTGGGTTGGGTCCCACTGTGGTGAAATAACACAGCACTTGAGCATCACTGGTTTCTTCATGGATGTTCACACTTTACATGTGTGAGTCATGGAAATATCACAATCACACAAGTGAGGAAGCGGAGGCACCTCGAGTGGCGGTGATGCTCAAGGTCACAGGGTCATGAGCCCAAGGGCAACATTCGTGTCTGGTGTGCTGCCCTGCTGTGTCAGGTGTTCAGAGTTGAATCACGATTAATAAAAACTCAGGGTCAGAAATTGGGGTTCAACCTGAAGATCTGAAAAGCAAAACAGCCAGTTACTGGCTTTTACCTCGACCTCAGTCTGAAATGGCGATCCTGCCTCCTGGAATCTCAGAAGGAGACTGCGTGACTGAGAGCTGTTTCCTCCCATTTATAATCCTCTCTAGGGCTAGGATTTAAAGGTGTGCACCACCGTGGTTAAAGGCATGACCCTCTTGGTTTCTATGGCAACTAGTGTATGTACCGGGATTAAAGGTGCGCGTTATTATGGCTGCTGGGATTAAAGGGGTGTGTTACCATAACCTGGTCTGTAAGGCTGACCAGTGGGACTGTTTTACTCTCAGATCTTCAGGCAGTCTTTATTTATTAAAATACAATTGAAAAGCCACAGCACAAAGTTTAGCTTCTGTTATGAACAGTCCCACAGTTAGAACCATCAGCCCTGTCCCCTAAAGGAACTGGGACTCAGAGTCTGAAGAAAGTGGTAGAACTAGGACGTGAACTTGGTTCTGACCTCTTCTAGCGTGTCCTCTTAGAGGGCGGGTGTGACCCACAGGAAGCCCCTCCTGTAACCAGTCCAGCGTAGCCTTGCCCTGTTCCCTTCCTTTCCCTTGCCTGAGATGCCCACCACCTCCACTTAGGAGTCTATATCCACTCTGAGGGAAGAGGTGACATTTTAAAGTGATGGCCCTCAGGGACTCGATAAAGAACACAATTCAGAGGCTTCTGCTCTCGTGAGATAAGGCGAGCAATGAGCTGTAGAATGGTAACAGGTTGGCCCAAGAGCCGAGTTATCCCAACCATGAGAGGATATGGTGGCTCCTGCCGTGTGGCTTGCAGGACGTGTGCCTGGGTGAGCTCTGCAGGGTCACAGTGCAGACTGCAGGTGCTGCCAGAGGAAAGTGTGATACAATGTGGCGGTCAGGTGACACTGTGGTGGTCAGGTGACAATGTGGCCCGAGGGCTAACATCTGCTATTTCTGCAGAAATGTCCCGGGCCAAATGCACTTGAGATCTCCGAGACAATAAGGGGAAAAGGAAGACGCCAGATCTGGCCAGGCCAAAATTAGGTCACAGCATGGGGAGAGCCAGGGTCAGGCTCTCTGCAAGAAGAGCGGAGAGTTGTCCTTGGCTAGTGGCCCTGAGCTTTTCTGGGTGAGGCGACAACAGGGACTTCCCATGCACTCCAAGCACAGAGTTCTAATTCTGCCCCATTGCGGTACATCTGCTTCTTTAAATCCCCACGGTGAACTGGAGCTAGAAAGCACTGGCTCTGTTTTCTAGTTAAGAAAACTGACATTAGCTCATTGCTGGGAGCTGGCGTCCCAGTCTGTGCAGAACTCAGGTGCCTTCCCTTTCATGATGTTAAAGAAAGCTGAGGGTAGTCAGTGTAATTACCTAGCCTGGACGGTAAGAGAGTGGGGCAGGGCAGCCTATGGTACCTGTTGTATACATGTGTGGACACATGTATGCATTGTTAGGTATATTTCTTAAGATGAGCTTCTCCGCCTATGCGAATAATTCCAATCAGACCGAATCAGACCAAATAAAAGATGCCCATGTTTACTGCAGCACTCTCAGGTGGTACCAGGAAAGCCTGGTGGGGGGGGGAGAGGGCAGGGGAGACCATGCAAAACCTGGAGACCACGTGTTCCTTTCCTGGGCAGCAGCCTAAACAGCCTGTGTAAGTGGTCCTGACCCTCCCTGGGGAGGGGTCACTGTTTGGCAGGCTTTCCTGGAGGTGGAGTCTGGACTGAGGCAACTCCCAGGGGAGGGGACTTAAAATGGAGCTTCCTGCTCCAAGGATGGGTGCCAGGGGCTGGGGTGATGCTTTCACTCAAACATTCCAGAGTCCTTGGATAAAGGGATGTCAGGGGGTCTCACTTGACCAAACATGTATGTATGTATGAGTGGATAGGTGGGTGAATGCACAGATGTATGGCGGATGGCGGATGATGGGTGGGGAAGTGGAAGAATGCACACATGGTGAGTACAAAGATGGAGTAGTTGGTGGGTCTATGATGAATGAATGAATGAATGAATGAATGAATGAATGGGTAGGTGGATAGGCAGGTGGGTGGATGAGTAGATGGTTGAGTGGGCGGATGGGTGAATTGACTGATGGATAGATGGGTGGACAAATGAATACCTAGGTGGTTGAGCAGAGGGTGTTGGGTGGAGATGCATACATGGAGAAGTGGATGATAGGCAGATGTGTAGGTGAGGGAATGGCTGGGTGGATGGGTTGGTAGATGGGTGAATGGGGGGTTGAGGAGTGGATGGATCGGTTGGTAGATGGACGACTGGAGGGCGTAAGGGAAGTAGGTGAATGGGCAGATGGAAGGATTGATGGGTAAATAAATGAATGGGTGACTAGATGGATGGGTGGGCGGATGAATGAGTAGATGCACAGATGGATGGAGAGATGATCATAGACAGACACACATTTTCTCTAACATAGGCACTTACATTTTCATGGAGCTTCCTGGTTTTCTGAGCCTAACAGTCTCCATATAGAAAGTCTCAAGTTTGCATGTTGCTTGCTATCTCTAAACCATTGTGCAGAGTAGTAAAAGCCTCTTCAGATGTGGTGGGACAATGGATCATACTGAGGGAGAAGATGCTCTGAACATCAGGGAAGCACACAGGCAGGGTTCTAGAAGCTCTGGTCAAGCCCAAGCCCTCACTCTCTGCAGCAAAACCAGACACATCTACTAAATCAAGGAAGGCCGTGGACAGAGGTGTGCAGGCAAGGAGTCCTGGGGGCTGTGGCCTAAGCTTCCTGATGTGGGCAGGTGGGAGCTCTGCTCCATTGTTTACCCAGCCCAGGTTGCTGCAGAGAGGAGCAAATGACTCACAGGTGATAGCCAGCAGATGTGATCAATCTCAGCTCCCAGAGACAGCCTTCTTTAGGCTCCCCAGGAAGGTGGGACCAGATCAAGCAGGATATCCATTTGGGGGAAGAAGAGCCTCCATCTAAGTGGGGATTTCCTGTGGCTGCTGTTTGGGAGCTATTGGAAACAGCATTCTTGGCAGGGGCCAGTCCCGGAAAAACACTGAAGGAGCTCTTATAGCCAGACTCCCAGCTGTTACTACACTGTGTGGTGTCTTGTGACTTGTGTTGAACAGAGAAGACCTGGGTGAGTCCAGCTCTGCTGTCCACTGACCTTGTGATCAAAGCACCTGTGTTCTCCACAGGCTCGTCTGTCCTCCATGGGCATCTAGCCTGGCTGGAGCCCCTTAGCTGTCCTCAGTTGCCTCCCAGCCCGCCCCAGCAGTTCCCTCCCTGCCTCTTTCCTGGGGGCACAAGCTAACTGTGGTTCCCTCTGACAAAACTCCCTCCTATAGGGCCCATGGGTCTACCCCTGCTCCTGGGGTTCATCTTGAGGACAGTTTCTGGTCAGCCAGCTAAAACATTGTTTGTTCCTGTGCTCCCTCTGCCCCGCCTGGTGATTAGCTGTAGGGCATTGTTTACTCCATCTTGGGTGTGGCAATTTCCCACCTGCCTGGGGGGAATTCCTTGTGCAGCAGCTGGGTATATA